AACTATTCTGAACTTCTCCTCTTAAGTTAGAAAGGTGTCAAAAAGAAAATTGAAGGCATCAGTCCAAGTAAACCTGAAGAGCCTTGACTATCCGAGCTTTAAAAGGAGTGGTAGTGGAGGAACGAAAATAGAAGTTTAAGGAGACTCTAAGCACTCAGGAACAATATCCCATATTATCCAAGACATCAGCTTGCTCATAGGTTCTCAAACCTCATCTTAGAGTCAAAAGAGAAGTTCACTTAGAGAAATATTCATGACCAATTTATCTTCTTAAATTAAAATTCCATTCAATTGAAAACCATGCCCAAATTAGGCCTAAAGTTGAAGGTGACTACACTTGCATCCTAAGTAGCATTGGGGTGACCTTAGTAAGGAGAAGTCATCGACTCAAAATATCTATCAGTGTATCGCCTTCCCAGAGGGTTGTGGTCATTAAAAAGGATGACCACTTATTTTTTTTCCATTGTATCTTAGGTGTTTACTTCTTGGCCATTTACCCGGTGTCCCAGGTGAATGCCAATGAGGGACAACTGTAGACACCCCCTAGAAATTCTGGCTAAGAGAATTATTAAAAACCTTGATTTCAAGTCCCAACGTCCAACAAACCCTAGTCAGTTAGTCAACTTAAACCCCATTTCATTATCTCAACACCAACCAAAACCTATCCCAAGCTGTAGCAGACCCTGAGAGCTTTCTAATGGTCTAAGAATCACTCAAATTAGACTTATGGATCAAAAGTTAGAAGCTTCAGAAGTTTAAAGGGCCAAACTTATAGAATTGTGCATGACATGCAGCGTGTCGCGCAACAGGCTGCGCTTTGCATGGCCTGTTGGGCCCGGGAATCCAAATTTGTTTTTAATTGGGTTTTAAAGTCTGTTTTTGGTCCTGAATAATCGGGACAATTTCAAAAATTATCCTATTCTTAAACAAAATAGGACTAGGAGATTGTACCATTTAATTTCAACCCTAACCTTATCAAAACTCTTTAAATACTGCCTCGAAATTCCTTGAAAATCACTCAAAACATGTCTAGAAAAATCCCTAGGAAAATTTTTAGATAATTAGGAAATTCCTAGATAATTCTAGAACATTAGGAAAACCCTCTAGAAAATTAGAATTCTAAAAAAAAGGAAAAGGCCTAGAAAATTAGGAAAATTCATCCAAAATACCTAAAAAAATAAAAAATATGAGAACCCCTAGAAAATTAGGGAAAACATCTAGAAAATTAGGAAAAAACCCTAGAAAGACTACATGCCCTAAGCCTAGATCCTCTAAAAATTCCTCTAAAAATCAAAATTTTAAGAACAAGTTCTCCTAGATCCAAACTAAAAACCGATACATGCTTCAAGAAGCAAGAAAAAGCATTAAAAGATGTAAATTAACCCATGATCTTAATCCAAGCCCCATCTCTGGGTTTTCTTTGGTAAGTGATATTTTTTTCTCTTTATATTTATTTTTTTATTAATTTCTAATTTTTCTCGTTAGTTCTTTATTATTAGAAGATAACCAGATCTGTAAAGATCCACGATATCCCTAAACTTATAATATGAGAGATCCCACTCTCTCTACTTATTTTTATAAATTAATTTGTTCTGCATGATATTTGAATTGATCTCACTTGACACAAATTCGTGCGTAAACAATATGCTATCATTAATAAATTCTAATCTACAAAATTATATGCACCTGTTGGAGGAAACTAGAGAGTTGTTCCTTCCTCAGCTAAGAGTACTTTTTAGGATCCCACAGTCTTTTGGGATGGGAGCTACTCAACCTAGTGATCAACCGTAAAGAAGAAAACCATCAATACATTCTCTACAACTTCAGGAAAAGATAAATCACGTCCTACTGCTGCAAAATACAATCCAATTTATGGACGATGATATCTAGGTGCGTAGGCACTCGATCCTTTTTCTAATCCACGCATCTCATGACTTTAAATGGCTCCCAGAAATTTTCACTAAGAAAATCTCGAGTAGGTCTTGCTTGATAGAGTAAATTTAAATTCTTCTAACTCGACAGCATGATATGCGCATTCCATTCTAATCCTTCCCTGTTATTTATTTATTTATGTGTTCATGGTTCTGTATATTATGCGTCCATTGGATCACATTATACTTTTTTAAAAAAGTACCTGGGAGGATTGATTTATTTATTTCTCTGTTATTTTGAATGTTAAGAGGGTATTTTTTTAAATCTAAATTTTGGGAACAAGTTTGGAATCACCAGATTAATAATCTCAAAATAAACAAAACAACATTTTGACTAACCAAGTCCCTAGATTTGACTGAAAAAAAAAATTAGGTTGGTTAGTCCGTTACATCGGATTATATATATATATATATATAAAAGAAACTCTATCTAGGATTTTTGCCGAGGAGTTTTGCTCCGGGGCATAATCTTTGTGAATCATTTTGCCACTACCACTTAGTTTTGAATCTAAGAAGGGCTTTGTCAAATTCAGAGTCGCATCGGAGTTTCCAAATACATTACAATCATACCCGACTCACGTCCTTCATTTGAACCCATTGAGAAAAGAGTCTAAAATTTTGGCAAATAGGGATAACCCAAATCCGTATTTGATGTGGAGCTCTCTACAGCAATGAATCTAACACCCAAACAATAATGCCCAAGAATAATAGTATCTACAATATATTTGAGAAAAATATAGAAAGAAGAAAAAACAAAATAAAATAGAAAATCATCAAACCACAACACAAGTAAAAGTAGAAAGCATACAAAAATTTACACGGTTCACCCAAAATAGGCTACATCTATGGGTAGGGGGCAAAAATGCATTCATTATCAATAAAAAAAATTTAAGTTTGAGGTTTTATAGAGATTACTTCTTACAATGATAAAAAAACCTCAAAAAAATATTTTTTACCATAATATCACCATCAATTAACTCCTCTTCATCGCCATCGACTACTCCTTTTCTTATGTTTTCCCTCTCCACAAATGCACTTTTATGGACCTCTATAAAAGGCTTTTTTTTTTTTTAATGAAAATCTTCAAATGGAGGTGATTTGGATCACTGCTCAACATAAAAGACTATATACATAAAAGACTATATTATCAGTTTCCTCGAAGGAACGATGTTTAATTTACCATAAAGAAGACAGATACTTTGAAAGGGGGAACACAATCATCGTTTTTAATTTTCCATAAAGAAGACTATCCCTATTTTTTAACCTAGTTTGGATATTATGGGAAGAACAAAATCATTGAATTTTTCAGATGAAGGTTTCTAGACGGGAGTACTTGATTAGGAGGATTACCTCTCATGTTAGTGAATTGGCGGATGCTAAAGCCGGTCTTTATTTATTAGAGAGAACAGTTGTTGATAACTTCCGGATCACATGGAGACAACATCATGATAGTAGGACGATGGTGATCTAGTACGGTGCAATTTCTTTTTTACTTCGATTAGAACACTTACAATGGTCATATATAATTATTTCAACTCAATAGAAATAAATAAAATAAAGGAAAAATTACGTAAATATCCATTTTAATTTCTATTATTATCAAAATATCGAATACTTTCGGTTATTATTGATATATCTGTTATGAAACTATCCATTTTCAATTTTTTCAAAAACTTATATGAGGTCAATTTCGATTGTTGAAAAATCAAAAATTTAAAATTTTCGATTATTGACAAACAAATTTTTTTTTCTCTTGTGAATATTCTCTGTCTACCTCTCTCTCCACATTACACATGGATTTATTTCTCTCGTTTGACACGGGATAGTTAGCTACACTGCAAGGCCACAACAAAGAGGCACCACCCACGCGTTTTGAGGCCTGATGGCACTTCTCTTGCGATGCTTCGTTAGAGTGCGACGCGTGAAGGTGGAAAAAGGTGGGACATGGATGGCAGGTATCGTGGTCAATATAAGGGATAAGATGGAACCAAAGGCGGCAGTCGGATCATTTGGGAACCTCCTCCTGCTGGCTGATGCCCTCGCACATGGAGGGGTTGCAGAACCACCTGATAGGCTTCGACTACAGAGATGCTTGAGAGGGGCGATTGAGAAAATGAACAGTGATTACTTGAGAGTAGTGTTAAAATCATCTCAAATCCTCGACGAACGTAATAGAGCAATTCTAGAGAGGGCTCTCAAGGGTTATGCACTTGGATGCTCGAGTTACTCTAATTTTCCGTCGTTTAAGTCGGATTTTGGATGGGGTAAGCCGGCATGGGTGAGCGGCGTTGGAGGTTATGTTGTGGATTTTGTCGTGCTCATCCACGGTCCATCGAGGAGTGGGATACAGGCTTGGGTGAACCTTGATGAGGAGGAAATGACCCAAATCGGAGTTCATTTGTTTTGTTTCAAAACGGATCTGTGCCTCGGATTGGGCACTTCAAAAATCCATTCGAATCGGTGAATCGATGATCCGAATCGAAAATCGACGATTTGGATCGAGAATCGACTATCCGGATCGAGAATCGACTATCGGGATCGAGAATCAGCCGACTCGATTGGATTAAACTTTAAAAAAAATTATTAAAATTCATTATAAATTTGGCTTTATCCAGAAATGAGGGTACTACATCTTTAACTTTATATTTTTTTCATCAATTTGTGAATATTGAGATGTTTTTTCCCTGTATAAACTTATGTGAACTATTAAATTTACATCACACAAAAGAAAAATCATAGAATTATACATGGTCTACAATCTTGAATTGTCGAAAAACCGTAATCCGCTAAAAAAACGTAAATTATTACAACCTAACTAACTATAATCCAAAATTATTACAACTTAACTAACTATTATATTATATACTGAAATTAAAATTGTTGCTTTACATTTTATAATTATTTTATTATACAAATAATAATAAATCCAAAATATTTTATAATATTATCAAATTTAAAATGTATTATTGACAACTGTAAGAAAAATAGTACATTACATGATTTATAATGTAAAAATTAATAAATAAAATAAAAGATTTGGTTATCAATATAGAAATTATTAGAATGTGTACCAATTTTCGAAATAACACTTTAATTTTTCAAAATTTCAATTTTTTAGATTTCTAAAATAAATTTAGTAAAATAGATTTTATAATATCATCAAATTTAAAATGTATTATTGACAACTGTAAGAAAAATAGTATATTACATGATTTATAATGTAAAAATTAATAAATAAAATAAATATTTGGTTATCAATATAGAAATTATTAGAATGTGTACCAATTTTCGAAATAACACTTTAATTTTTCAAAATTTTAATTTTTTAGATTTCTAGAATAAATTTAGTAAAATAGATTGTTAATAGAAAGAGAGAGATGTCAAATAGAATAAACTTTCTTTTTTTTAAAAAAAAAACTTTATTTTCTACATCTAAGAGGTAAGTAGGAGTGATAACCATTAAGCCATGTCATAGCGTATGTATAAAGTTTTTATTAAACTGTCTTAATTTAATACACTGTTTGTGGGGATTATCCCACATCGAAGAATGAGAGTCAACATTTATACATATAAATGGCTTTGTCGCATACATCTAAACGTTTGCGTGAAAGAGCGGGGGCATCATGGGCGGGTTGAAGGTTTGTGGCCACATGTCGCCAACAGGAATGAAGGTTTGTCACGTGTTGCCAGATATTATTAATAATCGGCGATATGTGACATATTATTAAGAATCGGCGATATGTGACGTCATACAGGCCAGTTCTCATCAAAGTATAATGTCATATTGGAGATATGTGATGTCATACAGGCTGGTTCTCACCGGTGTATAATGTCATATCGCCGATATGTGATGTCATACGGGCCGATTCTCATCGATGTATGACGTCATAACGGTTTCTAAAACAAAACCGGCGGTGTATACGGGCTGGTTCTCACCGGTGTATGATGTCAAATCGGTGATATTTGATGTCATACAGGCCGGTTCTTATCGGTGTATGATGTCATATCGGCGATATGTGATGTCATACGGGCTGGTTCTCACCGGTGTTTGACGTCATATCAGCGATATGTGTCATACGGGCCAGTTCTCACCGGTATATGATCTCATATCGACGATATGTGATGTCATACGGGCCGGTTCTCACCGGTGTATGACGTCATACCATGTGATGTCATATGGGCCGGTTCTCACCGGTGTTTGACATCATACAGGTTTCTAGAAAAACCGACGGTTCACTGACGTCATACCAGTGGTTCTAGAACAAAATCGGTGGTTCACTATGCGACGGTTCTAGAACAAAATCGGCCGTTCACTGTATGGCGCGATATGTGACATCATACGAGCCGGTTCTCATCGGTGTATGATGTCATATCGATGATATGTGATGTCATACGGGCTGTTCTCACCTGTGTATGATGTCATATCGGCGTATGTAATGTCATATGGGCCGGTTCTCACCGGTGTATGACATCATACCGGTGGTTCACTGTTCAGAACCGGCGGTTCCGTTTTGTTTTAGAACCTGGCGATTCCCGGTTTTACAAAGTAATCGGCATGGGGTTATCAATTCTCGTGCCGACTCAGGTGAGTCCATTGCAACTGGTTGATTTTTATCGATTCTTAAGCCGACTCGGGCGAGTCTGTTGCGATTCATCAATTTTTAAATGACTGGTTTCAAAGATTATGTAGAATACGTAGATGACCCACAAGAGAGAGAAAAAAATCCCTATGTAATGTAGAGAGAGAGGGGTAGAGAGAGAATATGTAGAAGCCCCACAAGAGAGAAAATTTTTTTTTCTGTTTTTCAAAAACCAAAATTGATTTGATTTCGGTTTTTGAAAAACCAAAAATGGTAATTTCTTTTTTTTTAAATTTTTTTTTTGTTATGAAGTCTAAAAACCGGACATATAAGTAATAACAAAAAATATTCAGTATTTTGGTAATAACGGAAACTAAATAAAAAAGAAGACTGAGATGTAATGGACTACATGAATAAAAATAAAAACACCGGAAGATTACCTCCAGAAGATTATTTCCTCCTCCAATGACATGGGATCAAAAGATCAATCTCAGATTTGGAAAGCTTTGGCTATCTCGTGAGATCTTAGAAACCACAATAAAACAAATCTCAATTCCTAAACCTTTATCTCGATCAATTCCTAAACCTTTATCCCGATCAATTCCTAAACCTTTATTGGGATCAAAAGGAATAGGCTAAAACCTTATTCTCCAGTTCCTAAACCCTTATCCCATAAATAAAAGATATACTTAATTATCATATACATTGTATCTAGTCAATAAATTTATATTTCTTTAACTAATTAAGTATTTCAAAATATATTTTTGATTTCAAAGAACTAACTCCCATATTTATGGGATATCTTCAACGGCAAAACTTTCTATGTTCCCCTACAACATAGAAGTTCTATCCTCCCTTTACCATCCAGCCGTCCATTTTTTATCAAGAGAGCCACTCACTGTTGATCTTAAATCCAATGTCTTAAAGTATTTTATTTTCATTTTTTTAATACAATTTCTCTGAATATGAAATTTGGTATGTACTATCTTCTCATTGGGGCGCACCTATAAAAAATATTAAAAATAATTTTTCGATTAAAAATAATGACCAAATACCCTTTGAAATTTTTAGGGGTATTTTGCTCATTTTATTTTATTGAAAATATTTTTTTTATATTTTTCGTTAATGCAAGTTTAATAGAGGAATAGACGTCCAAAATTTGGTGTCAAAACAGTTTATAGAAAAAAAAATTAAAAATAAAATAGTGTAGAAACATGACATTGTGATTGGGGCAATCTTAGCCCTCAATTAAAAAATAGAGGGTTGAATAAAAGGGAGGATAGAAGTTCTATATTGTGTTGAGTAAAAAGGAGGATAGAAGTTCTATGTTGTAAGAGTAACATAGAAAGCTTTCCCATCTTCAACTCCCATATTTATGGGAGATTTTCTAATTTGATATCAAAATCAAAATAATCATAAGATAAGGATATCATGGGGGTGGTGCATAACCCCCATTACCCCACTAAAGGTCGCGCGCCACCTAGCTCCCAAAAGAATAGGGGGTGGCACCAGCTCCACAATTTGTGGCGTGCCTCCCTTAGGCCCCTCAAAATGAGGCATTGAGCTTAAGAACCTCAATAAAATAAATCTTAACCTGAATGTAAGTGCAGTGTACCACCTTCTCTATCTAGCTCAGACGTGCCACCCTTTACAACTTAGTTTATGAGAGAGAGAATATTTAGGAGAAATTAATGTGATCTTTCTATCTTGGAGACATGTGGGGTGAGGGATTTGAGCCTTCAATTCCAGCCATGATCAAAAGAAACGCCCAACACCTTATATTTTAGTTACTAGACCATTATCCCATCACATAACATATATGCTTAAATATCAGATACATTGTATATAGTCAATAAATTTATATTTATTTAACTAATTAAATATTTCAAAATATATTTTTGATTTCAAATAACTAACTTTCATATCTTACGAGATATCTTCAAATTTGAAATCAAAACCAAAATATCTATAAAATAAAGATATCATAGGGGTGGAGTGCCACCTAGCTCCTAAAAGAATAGGGGGTGGCACCAGCACCCTAATTTGTGGTGTGCTCCCCTTAGGCCCCCTCAAAATAGGGTGTGGAGCACCTTCTACAAAAAGTGGTGTGCCTCCGAGGGCTCTAAAGTGGCCCCCCATGCCAAACAAAATGGGTCCAATGGGCCCCTATGAGCTTACGCTTTTATTTTATAAATATTTTAGAAAATCGAAAAATATAATTTTATTTTATTGTTTTTAAGCATTAATAAATATATTTTACAAAAATAAAAATAAAATAAAACATTCAGAATCTTAAAATAATTATTCTAAAACTAATCAATATCTAAGAAAATAAATTTGATGGGAATATGATCCTTAAGGTTTAGGAATTAATAATTCTGAAGCACTCCATCTTCTACAGTGGACCATAATCTACACTTGTATTTTCAAATTGACCTAGTAGTACCCATAACCCATTGTACAATGTAGAGGCTCATGATTGGGCTACCAAAGTCAGCCAATAGGCAAGGGGATATAATCTTAGTCTATGGATTACAGGTTCTCCCCTAGAGACGAGTTCTAAAGTCACACAGACCTGATGCAACCACAACTCTATGGTGCATATAGGTAATTTCTCGCACATATACATGCATCACCTTCAATGGTGAACTACTTTCCCAATACGGCCATCATATGTATATGTCGTGTAATGGATTACTGATGAGGCTTTTAGTCTTCATATCTAAAAACTAATCATCATACACAAGAGTCACATAGTCCCTTGGCTCATTCATCTAGGCACATCTGACCTCATTAAGGGATAACCTATCAACCCTCATCGATGTTTATTCTATGCCTAGGAATCAAAGGTTTTCTAACTCGATTGGCCTAGCACACAAAGCCT